CCTAATAACTCTGGTAGTACTGGCATCCCCCCTGATACCTCTGGTAGTACTGGCATCCCACCTAATAACTCTGGTAGTACTGGCATCCCCCCTAATAACTCTGGTAGTACTGGCATCCCCCCTGATACCTCTGGTAGTACTGGCATCCCACCTAATAACTCTGGTAGTACTGGCATCCCCCCTAATAACTCTGGTAGTACTGGCATCCCCCCTGATACCTCTGGTAGTACTGGCATCCCCCCTGGTAACTGTGGCAGTACTTTTGGGTATCCTGAAAACAGCGATTGCTGCAGCAGCCCTCCTAGTTATACTGCAGATGAAGTTGACATAGCAACCATGCTTACCACTTGTACTTCTTATATATCAAGACAAACTAATTTAATAGTTATACCCTGGGGAGGGAAAACCAGCAATGGAGTTGAGGTGACTAACACCTGTCCCATTGATAATTGGCTGATGATTTTCCAATCATTAACAAAATCAGGAAGAGTGGTCCTGGGTGACATGGAAAAAGCTGGGGATCTTCTTAAAACCGCACTACAGTTGGTTGATCGCAAGCAATTTGCAGATGCTAAGGTATTGTTTATACTTAACCCAGCTGTAAAGAATGGTGTCCTTGACTGCTATGGGAATGAAGCAGACTATGTCATAAGAGAACTGCTTCCATTTCTTGCCACAACAATAACATCAACTTGTAACTTATCTACCTGCCCTTCATTGAGAAATGTTTATACATCATATGGCATCTCACTTGGGTCAAATGGGAACAATGTTTCATTCAATTCATCATTAAGGGAATGGCTTCTTCCAGTGGCCACTCCTTGTCAGAGAAGGTTTCATAACAAACCTGCAAGTAATACCCCAAGTCAGCCAAATGTGACACTGCACTGTAATGGCACTCAATCAGTATCATGGCATTGTTCTGGATTTAGGACCACATCTCCACGTTTCTTTTCCAGTTTTAAGAACATTGCTATTTTTTCTGTCAACTTATTGAGTAGACGTTTCAATCTGAAATTTCATGATTTACCACCAATTATTGAACTTAACAACAAGCAACTAACACTTCACAGCGTAACACTTTGGAATGGAGGACATTACATCTGCATTTTAAACCACCTGAATACCTGGTTTGTTTACGATGGGCTCAAAGAGTACCAAAGAAAGAATTCTGGTCTGTCTGTCTTTGCAGGGCAGCCATCGGGATATCTTCTTAGCCATATAATTTACGTAGTTTAATTTTTTGTTGTTGTAAGATTTTTTGTTATATGCTACATAATACAAATGCAGGACTAACATACAGAATGTGGATACCAAATAATCTTTGTTATGAATTAAGAAATTTTATGAATATTCTGTTAGAATACATATAGATGACAATATAAAAGTACAAACATTATAATATGAATATTACTTTAAATATTGAATAATAAATTGTAATGTCTGGGTGGTTTTCATAAAACTGTGAACCAAAGTGTAATAGAGTGTTCATGTATTGGTCATATTAATAGTGCTAATATTACACTTAGCATGTTTTACAACTTGAAATGAAAACCATTCTAGTTCAACAAAATTATGAAAACCACAGTATTTTTAACAATAGTTCAAGGATATCTACTACTAAAGAGAAGTCATGTGAATGTGCATGAATTAAAAATATTCTATTAAGAAACAAATAGTGAATCATCTGTTTTATGTCCTTGTGAATGTATTTTATCTATATAAAGGAAATTTATTTTTGAATCTACCTACAAAGAACTTCCTGAAAATTTACCAATCCACAGGCTACGACAACCATTTGTGTTGCTAGTGGAGCAAGGGAAAGAGGTATTGTTCTCCCAACCATTTTGAACTGCTTGAGTCTCTGATTAAACCGTTCTACATGCACTCTTGCCTTTGCAATCTTACGAGTAGATAATTCCTCAGCTGCACTTAGATTGGCTCTACCCTTTAAAAATGCAGGTATGTTGATGTGTGCTTGTAAGGGGTTCACCAAGTCCTGTACAGTAAACCCTCTGTCAACAAGAATCACGTCTTGTGGCTCAATATGCTTCAGAATTCCACTTTGTTCGAATATTTGCACATCTGAAATATCTCCTTCATAGAGATCTGATACAAAACAAGATCCTCCATTAGGGGTAACTGCTATCAAACATTTAAAAGTGTTGGCATGCTTGTAAGAAGAATAAGTGTTCCCTTGCCTTGCAAAGTTTCTTGCTGTCTCTACTCTAAACTCAGTACAGTCTACACTGCATCTAATTCTTTTGATTGTCTTGAAGACTGGTGGAAGACATTTCTGAAGTATTTCCTTAGAGGGAAACATGACTTTACTCATGTCACGAAAGACTCTGTACATAAGCTGCATATATGTTGTGAATACATCTCTTATTGAGGTTTCCTTTATTTGCTTGTCAGGAGTGCTCAGTAGAATGGACATTGTTTTGATAGTAAAACCTCTTCTGAGACGTAGTAAACAGATGAAAAGTCTTTCTTTCGTAGACCACTTACTTGGCAAAGTTTGAGTAAGTTTGTTTACCGATTTTTTTTGGTCACAGTAGCTCCAATAAGTAAGCTTGTCTAAAGGACAAACATCATTCAGAAAATCAAATAAAATATTGAATTGGCGACTAGAAAGTCCAGTGAAATGTTTCATTGTTTCAGAATTCTTTATTACAATGTCATATGAAATGTTACTGACCGCAGTTACTTGGTAAATAACAGTGTTTTCGACCTTGGTCTTTAACTCGTTCGCTGTAACCATTGCTTCGATCTTGCTTTTCAGTTCTGTTTCTGTATACGTAGTTTGAGTACTTTTGTCTAAACTTTTGTCTTCCTCAAAAGTAACATTAACGGAATCATCTTCATACGATGACTCGGTGATCTCTAAACGGTCTGAATCAATGCATTTCCTTGACCTCTTGTTAACTGGTTTAACTGATCTTCGCAATGGCGCCTTCCTCTTGCCTCGTGATCGATCCATCTCCTGGCTCGTTAAGTTTGCTTTGAAAGGATCTGGAAATTCATCAGTTGGCCCTTTTCCACCTGGCCAGTGTAAAGCACAAATATAGGTATTATAATTGATATTTTTCACTGTAAAATGTTCCCTAGAGCAAGCATTAATCCATCGCTGACAACGCTCTAAGCCGTGCTTCGGCTTTGGAAAGGGTATGAATGCTTTTTGTCCATTTTTGAGCATTTCCTTGAGAGAATCTGGCAGTCTTTCGGGGTATCTGGAATCACTTTTACATGTTCCCCAGCAGCAATGCCTTGTGGCGACCATTTTGAGTTTTAAATCGACTTTTTGAGTGAAATTTGTTCTCTCCCTGTCGAGTGCTACATACTTTCCCTTGTAATCTATGGCAGTGTTTGTCCTAATCTTGATGGGGGGTCCAAAGGTGACAAGTCTATTTTTAGAGTGTCCGCGCAGCGCTATTCAGGAAAGCCGGGTGTGATTTTACTGCCTAAGGGAAATTACGATACAATTAAGGATTTACTCGATCACATAAATGAAAAAATAAGAAAGGATAAGAGGGTGAACGATGGCGACATTCTGTTCCAGTACAATCCTATATCAAAAAAAGTATTTGTATCACTTAAAAACGATAATGAAGTGTATCTAACGAAAGGAACTGTGTCTCAAATCCTGGAATATGGTGGTGAATACACGATGATCAAGAAATCGCAAGTCAGTCCTTTTGTATCAGATTTGAGTGGAGGAATACAGTGCTTGTACATTTATGCTGATATTTCTGGATATCAAGTTGTTGGGGATACAAAAGCAAGGCTGTTGAAAGTTTTACCTGTAGAAGGCAACTATGGAGATACAATTTTCAAGACATTTGATGCTCCTACCTACTATCCAATTGGAACGAAAGAGTTTCAAGACATTAAAATCGATATAAGAGATGGTGCAGGGAAAAAAATTCAGTTTGAACGCGGTCGCGTCGTTGTGAACTTGCACTTCAGAAGGAAATCTTTTCTTGAATAACCCATCCAGCCAGATGAGTCGAAAACACATTACATYGCCTGAATTTTACAAGAACTACTATGTATCGCAAGCTCAACAAAAGGGCGGCGGTGGACCTTTTTTTTCCGCTCGGTTGTTTCAACGAGGATATGGTCAAAGGGGAGGTGGAATAGGAAGTTTCTTTGGTAGTCTGTTTCGAAAAGCTGTACCGTTTTTAACAAGTGCAACCAAACACYTCGGAAAAGTTGCACTTAATACCAGTGCGAACGTGCTATCGGATGCTGCCACAGGACAGTCGTTAAAAGATTCGGTGCGCAATCGTCTGAAAGAATCTGGAGAAGAATTGAAACGTGATGCAACGAGAAAAGTCAGAAGTCTAGTCAATCAACAAGTGGGTTCCGGAAGAAAGCGTAAAAAATCTCAACAAGAAAACCGTTCAACCAAAAAAAGGAAACCGTCAATACGAGCCAAACCTACAAAACGCAAAGCACAGTCAAAACCCGTCAGATCGTCTAAAGCAACCAAACCGAGAACATTTCAGGATATCTTCGGATAAATCAGACCATGGCATTGATTCACCATCGCTCAGAAGAGTGCGCTCTTGAAGAATTGGACATATTTTCAGTGGCGCCTACTCAAACCAGTGTCCTCAAAAAGTCCGATATAGAGTATCAACCTATTTCAGCCATTTCTAGTTCTTCACCTGTAGAATTTAATATCCCTGGGAACGAAGATTACATTGATTTACCTTACACTCAGTTGTATATTTCGGGTAAAATCAAACACAAGGATGGAACAAACTTAGATGCTGATGAAAAAGCTGGACCTGTAAATAACTTACTTCACAGTCTCTGGAAGCAGGTGGATGTCTATTTTGGGTC